CACTTGTTGGAATTCTTATACACTTGTCGCATGCGAATACAACCCAGGGTAAGGACAAGCAAAATGGTGTTTCTTGTAGTTTCGCCATGAAGTTTGCTTTTCAGAGGAAACTTCATTGGTGAGCCGATCTATACAGTAGGAGATCCATGCACAACTAACCAGGACTGCAAATGTGCTGGTTGCACTTGTAGCAAAGATGAAGGACTCTGTGTTGCTTCTTAAAGACTTCAGCAATAAATCTTCAGCAGAAAAAATCTGTAGTATTTGGTTGTTGATTGATTAGGCGCTTCAAAGACGAAAGACTCTCAAAGCTCCCTCCAAGATAATTGCTGATCCTTTCCTTACTTCGCCAATGAATGACTCCACAGTACATCTTGGACAGCTCCGAAATTAGAATAATATAGGGAACGATTCTTTTTCTATTTAAAGCTCAAACCTTTACTTTTCAAAACTGTTAGGTTCACTCGAAACCTTCAAAATTTTACAAATTAAACATTAATACCCCTAATTTTTCTGAAACAGACAGGTCATAGTCTTCTCAATCAAAGGGGTGGGCTGATGGCAGGTGATTAATGCTACGTATGAAAGTATAAGTCGGCCAAAGATTGCAGTAAGCACCACTTATATAAATTAACCCTCAGTTTTGCCCGACCTAGTCGTGTTCGTTGCTTGTTTCATAGTAAACGATCCTTGACAACGGACACATCAATGCTTCAAATGGCTCAGCGATGCCCTTTCTGTTACCGTTCACTTGTTCATTTATATTATCCTCCCTTGTAACTGGAGAACAAGCGCAGGCTTACAGTTACCAGTTACAGGATGAAGGATTTCCGCCGAATATCTTTAATTTCTCATAGATCCAAAACTACGTAGAAAATACTTTCCTAGCTGTAAACAAAAACTGATAATGCCCGCCCTAATTTAAGACATACTTGTGGACAACAAAATTTTCCCAAGCGCCGAATTAGCAACTAATCAGGCTGCCATATTGTTGTTTGGGTTAAGATTTACGAGTAATCCACTTGTTGACGCGAACACTTACAGAGTAACCTTCTTGATGTAATTACTTGATTTGGGCTATAATTGCCATTCGTAAATATTTCATGTTGACATAGAATGGTCATAAATGAAAGAAATTAATGAGACGTGATTATCTTCGTTTGGCTTGATCTTTCTCAGAATACCTCTGACACATTTCTCCGTTTTCCACAATAAGTGCGGAAAAAATATTTTTGCACTTGAACGCAGACAATAAAGATGACTCTATAGATCATCACGTTCAGTTCCAACAGATTTCTGTAACGGCGAGATCTCTTGGTAATGCCCTCACACTAGTGCTATCCGGGTACCGTGCCCTTTATTCCTTCCCTTTCCGAGACTCCCACATGAACTCGCCTTAACAGGGGTCCGGTGCTAGAAGGGACAAAGAGGAAGGTGCAAGGGAATGTGTGTTCGAGTCCCGTCCTATGCCGGATTTCATCCATAATCGCCAATATTGTGAGACAGCGCTTATTGCGACGAAACAAAAGCAGTTGGGAAGAACATTGATTTAAAATTGGTTTCCTCTTGAAGGATGAGTACAAAGGAAAGGATGAATTCTGTGATAATCGATTCCATTTTGAGATGTTCCCCGCATTCGGCTTTCAAGCAGAATCGAGTGTCTTATTGAATGCATATGGAACTCTAAAATAACTTGCTGTGGCCATTCGATGTAAAAAGTCAGCATTTCTGCACCCTCAAGCGCGTCTGGTACCAAATATCGAGAGAGGGTTTAAAAGCTCGGTTGGCTTAAGGGAGTGCCGATTTGGGATCTGATCCCGGTTCTGATAGTGTGCCATTTGTCACTACATCACCTCACCCCATACTTATCCTTTTATCATTTTATAGCATATTTTATTGCTTGAATTGAGAACGCATACAGGTATCCTACATTTTTGGAATAAAGTCTTTTGTGGCCGCCAATCATTTTTGGCTAACCTGCAGTAATAGATGCGGCTTGCGTTTTAATTGCTGTACCAAGATAACTTAGTCGGTCAGTATTTCCGTCACAAGCATCTCAGGATATCATTCCCGATTATCTATCGCTAGCTTCAAAGGCGGTCTTATCCTGGCATTCGTTTACATTAGAAACGGCGGCAGGCCACCCTAGGTAACACTTTCGAGAGGTCACCACCGCTCGTTCCGCCTCCTACAACGGCCCTTAACGTCACTCCCTCTAGAGGGTTTCCACTCATATATCGAGGTGATTCCCAACGATTAATCCTCCGAGTGGGGTTATCCTCTCAATCATTCCTTTTCGCCTACGTCATCTTACCATTCTGAAACATTATTGATTAATAGATGTTACATTTCCAGAAGATGATTGATTGCACGATATTCGAATGTGAAATCGAGCCTACATATGAGAAAGATCTGCCTCAGACTCCACCGAAAAGAGACGATCATCCGCGAATCACCTGCACAGCGGCCAGAGATCATCAATTGCAAACATTATGCAAACATCTCGAGCAGGTAACAACCACCCCTGACCACATGATATCCAGGAGGGACTGATAAGCAACCAGCTGACCTGTTGTGATTTAATGTAAAGAAACAACAACACCATATAACAAAACTGAAATGCAGCTATCAGCTATTTCTAAAGAAGTGCACTTGATGAAGGAATGCCGTCGCTATCAGAGATATCACAGTATTCATTGATTGAGAAAAACTCCGCACTGCTTTTCTCCTTATCGCGGTCCACATCTTCGGAAAGTTCACATCGAACTTCCAAAAGAACGGACAAAGTTTACAGTTATACCTGCTGCTAGCGAATACTGCTCCAGCCAACCATCTCATTCCCTTTAGTGATCGTTCATCGTACCTGAGAAGGTAGGAGAACCGCCGTAGCGTTGTATAATTGCCTCTCGACACCTCTTCGCCCAGATGAACATCGTAACTACTGATTAGGAGTGAAATGCGTGGCGCAATTTCGGAGGCGCCCGACAAAGATCGCTCGTTCACCTTTCAAAATCCCTTCGCTCTTGGCATTCCGTGAAACACCCAGCCAGACCAGGACAGGTGCGCTTATCAGGCGCCGATCTCTCCAGACAAACCGCCCGTTGCCGTAAAACATGGTGGCTCCTTTCCAATTAATCGTCAATGCCAACTGAGCGTATCATTGATAAGGGGATAGCTCTGAAAAGGGTTCGAAGGGTTCAGTTCGGTCAACCTGATGGATGGATTCTATAGAATATTCACAAAGTTACTGTGAAGTAAATCGCGTCCCACCATTCTTACAAAATTAGAGGCGATTGGCTCCCATGAACGCTTTATGTGCGATGGTTGGACGTGTAGGATTCCAGTTTATGTTCGAGGTGAATTCCTTGGGCTTCTCAGATCGCCCTTCACTGAACCCTTCATAACGGACACACAGAACCTGTGGGTATTCAAGTGGGTAGAAAGGAATTGTGAAAGAGCGTCATTTGCACCTCCTTGCACAGTTTTCCTAACGTCAAGATAGCTTCCTACCTCTCCTAAGCCCAGCAGAAAGAAGGGAGTTTGCTGAGGACGTAAATATGGTCAAAAGTTAGTTAGACTTCCTAAGCCATTATACGTAGAGTCAGATCCAAATTCTAACGATCTTTGTGACTGCTAATGCAAATAAAGTGCATGGCTCACTTCGATTCTGATAACTCTATTTTCAGGTATACCAAGTCGATAGAGCACTGTTATGGAAAATGAGTCATTGTACTGCATTCACGCAAATGACTGAAATCGTTTCCGGTTTGAAAATCGTCCGACTACTTGAGAAAGCCATTCAACGACAGCTGTTCGATCATGTGCGTTTCCTTCACTTGATTTTTGAACTGTGTCCAGCCAGAGAGTGTGAGAGCACATGAGATGCCTAGAGACATTGTGATGTGTACCTTCAGAGTACTTCACAAATGCTCCAATCCTATTTTTTTGTCTGCACAGCCTGCTTAGACGAAAATTCACCTTTGATACCGTACATTCCCACGTGGGAAACTTTATGGGCTATGAGTAGACTGAGGGGCTAGAATCTAGAATCATAGCAACACATTTAACTTTTACTGTGACTCGTGGATATTGTTCAAGACTACTGATTTGTCCTTCCATACGAGTTTGCTATCAGAGTTCAAGTCGATGAAGGGTTGATTTTCATGGATAAGGTCCCTACCTTGGGAGAGGCCCTGGAGCCGCTTAGCCACTACGGTATTTGAACAGGGAGCTTCCTGATAGAGCACGAAACACAATTGCAAGGATTCGTAGTCAGTAATTCAAAGGTTTTCTTACAGCTCAAGGAACGTTCACAACGCAGTTCAGCTGCGCCGAGTCCAAGCTGACCTCTGAAAGCCAGGCCTCTGTAGAAAACATGACAAACGATCTACTGGTTCAGGAATATTCCATATAAACTGTATATTGTGTATATTCTCAATATATATGATATAATCTGAATGAAAATAAAAATTTATAGCTATTCAGTTATCTTCTCTGACGCTCCCTAATTGTAGCGGTGTGTCTATCTACCGATAACAACTGGTAACCGCACGGATTTAGGCTAATATTTATTTGTTAGCGGTATATCTAAAGGTACCCAGTAGATGAGGAGCAGATATGAAGTCAGATTGTGTTACGGTGCTTGGAAAGCTGCCAAACACTCTATAGACACGAGGATGGATGGGTTTGTGTGTGTATTTAAAAGGTCAACAACTGTTTGAAGAGCTGATTGGCAAGGGTTAGCCGATGTATGCACAGATTCCGGCGTCAACTAGCCGACGAGTGTTGTCACCGGTCCAACTGAACGGGTACCATATACCCACCCTCCCTCATTATTCTCATCCGTACAGAATATCTACTAATTATCACCGAAATAATCACCTAAATCTTTGAAAATCTTCGTGATTGCGACGTTGATAGGCACGCTACCTACCTTATCATGGTATTGATAACCCGATGGATTCGTGGAAAGACGAAACCACTGAAACCTTCATATCAGTGGGTAGCCCGAATTAATTTGAGCACGCCTTATGGCTTATGGAAACCAGGCAGCCCACGATTTTGCAAGACGAGCCCCGATTGGTGGTTTCGGGGTAATGACATTTACCCTATTCGATCACGAAAAAACTTCGGTCGTTCATGATCATTTTGGTGAAAATCACCTCTTCCTCCATGCAACCATCCCATCAGAGACCTCCGAGCACATTTCCTAGGCATTCCCTCCCAGAATCTCGATCCTCTCTCTCCCTTCACCTTCTTTTGTCCACGTGTTGATGTGGTAAGGAAGAAATTAGCGAGTTGTTTCTCCAGTTTTTCTGCTTACTGGGATTGGATTAAGGCGAATGAATGGGAAATCAGAGAGTTTATTCCCGTTTCCAAAATTCCGGCTCTCTTCAAATCTCTAGAAGAAAAAAACTAGTTTTTGCAATACGCAAAGGTCATTGGCTCATAAATATCTCTGTTTTAATGTTATCATAGGAAATTGAGTTCTTCTGCAGAAAATCATTTTAATTATGAATTTCTTCCTGTTCATAATGACATACTATTCATAGAGTCTCTATTGCTATTCCCTTTCCTGTCCTTTTTTAGCAAACACATTCCTGGAGATAGCGCCATTTACTGGCATTTACTCTCATTGATCTTTTTCTTCTCATGCGTTTTTTTTCTTTCTTTTCCCTTCTTATCGTTGCTGCCCGTCCCAAAAAAAACCACACCACAGTTCACCCTGTGAAAAAAGTCTTTCGTCCCCGCAATCAAGCTTTCTTCCTTACCAGTTCTTTGTTCCAATCTTTATAAAAATTTTACCCTATACCCTTGCGGTGGTTACAGCTGGCCTTAACCCTAACGATCCCATACAAATGAGTCAATTGGATCAAGAAGTCCAAGTGCGTCTCAAAGCATATTCGATCCTACGGTAGAACGGTAGGGGGGAGGAGCGAGTTTTAAAGTTTCGTAGCGCTTTCAAAGATCACAGAGAGTGGCATGAGAAACTGGTAGCGCAAACCAATTTGAAGAAGATTGTGCCTAATCTGTTGTTCGGCATGGGTTAACTCTCTTGCGTAATCCATCTATCACTTCATGTTCCTGATAGGATAGGGACTGGTGGAGCTAATTTCAACGCACCCGATCACCCACTCTATTTCCTCATGAGTCAGGTAGACCAGTCAGCTGGGAGCCAGCGGCCAAAGAGAAGGGGACAAGAGGATTAGGTCTACCATGCAGTGTTGTACCCTTACCAATTAGCCAGTCCCATTGAGCTTGACCCCTAATTCTCGTACTCATGCATATTGTAGCCCTTTTACACTACTGACTTGATCTAAATCTGCTACCGTATCCAAAAAGCATATAGAAGGACTGGAACTATTACAGATGTATATGTACACCACAGATTCGGCACTTTGCAGAAATCCGAAAAGCTTTCAATACTGACTGCCTATCAGGATCTTTCTAGAAACGAAACAGAATACCAGAATTATCTGAATTACTGGGTATTGAAATTCAACTTTGGTGTTTCCAGTAATACTCCCTAAAATGTCCCAAAATTCAGGTTTGGCATTCATTTTGCTTTTAACATATATATTAGTTAACTGTCTACTTTACACCAGCTAGTGTTCCATTTACTATACACTTCAGTGTCCTTGCGCCGAATGCATCTCTCTGGCCGTTTTATTTCACCTGAGCAAGTCCTATCTTTGCCTATATAGCCCGTGAAAGGTAATCACTCACTGACGACAACTCTGCACTGCGTATCTTATCGCTAAGTGTAAATCAGACCGTAGCGTCCAACGTCAACCGTGCTGTTGCAGCCATAATAAATTGCGATGGCATAGCGAGAGAGTGAGTGCTGGTTGCGATGACAGAGATACGGGGTACGAGGTGATGTCGTCGTTTCAGCGCCAGACGGCAGCATACGTAACCCCTCTCTCCGTTAGAGCCCCACTCTTCCACCCATCGTGACTGATAAGCGCATTATGTTGGTGCCATACGTTCCGGAAACCATTCCCTATCGGCATTTCTCTTCATTTTGTCCTTCCTATTGTCGCTCCCTTTGTAACATGCACCATACAGGGATCAATAGGACACGTCATTACATCCTGATTCTGAACATTCCTCAACACGGAGACGCCTTTCTGGCGCCTCTTTCTGCTTCTATCTCAGCTGTGCCAAGCAGCCCTATCTCCAGAGCATGAGTACTTGAACTGAACTGTATTAAACCCTATGNCCTTCTCTCCGTTAGAGCCCCACTCTTCCACCCATCGTGACTGATAAGCGCATTATGTTGATGCCATACGTTCCGGAAACCATTCCCTATCGGTATTTCTCTTCATTTTGTCCTTCCTATTGTCGCTCCCTTTGTAGCATGCACCATACAGGGATCAATAGGACACGTCATTACATCCTGATTCTGAACATTCCTCAAGCGGAGACACCTACCTTTCTGGCGCATCTTTCTGCTTCTATCTCAGCTGTGCCAAGCAGCCCTATCTCCAGAGCATGAGTACTTGAACTGAACTGTATTAAACCCTATGAGGTGATCTAAAGCTCCTACCCGCAAACACCCCTTCGTTATCATCCCCAAACCGTTGGCTCTTTGATGTGCAGCGCAGTGCTCGTGCACTCTAGCCAGCAGAGTTCAAAGCGAAGAGTCGGCGTGATTCGTTCGTGACTGAAGGGGAGGTCTGTTATGTGGACCAGTGAGCCCATGTACGAGGCAAGCTCGCCAAAAAGTAGCCAGTAGAAGGAAAAGTCCCTCAGTCATGGGAAAGAAGTCGTGCGGTATACCCAAGCTTTTACCCAAACTTGCCTTTGTAGGTGATGAACAAGTCTTTATTTATTATTTGCAAAAGTATGAGATGCAGAATAGCTTTCGGGTAAGTGAAAGACGTAAGAGGAACTCAAATTTCACTGGCAGAGCCTGTTTCACGTACTATTAGGGAAAGAGTCGACTGTAGCCCTTCGAAATTACACCCAAAGTTATGTTTCGAGCCTTGTATTAGCATACGACTAGGTTGACCAGAGACGGGAGAGACAATTTTATCGGCTAGGGTTAGTGGCCTCACAGCAATTGAGCCGTTTACAGCGACCCCTTATAGCTGAATAGTGAAGTGAGGTAGCACCAGGTGAGTGGGTACCACGAGGAGTAACGTGCCTTGGATATTTCAGGAAGTGTCGTTTGACTGATTTGGTTCCTTACAGTAATAACTGTCGAAGAGGGTTCGAAGAGTTCATGAGCCTCAGTTCTAGACATAGCTGACCAAAAATCTCCTCTTTGTACCTGGTTGATAGGAAAAGTGCAAAACCAGGACTTAACCCAAAAAAACTAGCGTTTTTTCACACGCTGCCTGCTCTCCCTTTTTTCTGCCTCATGCACTTCGAAAGGCGTGGCCTAGTCAATCCACGAGATTTTTTCTGGGAATTTTTGTTCTAATTAAATCGGATCTTGAAAGTAAAGCTGAACATGCCAATGTGTTCACCCCACGGCTATTCATTTTGCTTCGTTCATGCAACATTTCCAAAGCAAAACGAGGCCCTTCACGGAGTTTCGTGTTCGAGCCCCATTCGTGGTCAAATCTTTACTCACTACTCGGCTCCCGTTAGATACAGTGATCCTTGTGAGATACAGTAACCCTATCTAGGAAAAACCTACATACTCTCTACTGAATATGAAAAGCTATTCCAAAGGTTCATCAGTTCCCTCAAAAGTCCTTTTAGGGTCATGAGGAACATGATGCGGTCCTTTCTAGCCATCGTTAGGCTATCTTTCCGAAGGCATGCATGTAGCTTATAAATGAAGCTCACTTTCTGACTATAAACTAAGAAAACTTGCTTGTGAACCCGTTCAAAGCCAAGTTTCTTGCATAAACAGCTAAATCAGACCTGGCTGCAATCTTTTGGATCTTTCATGGCTTTTTTTTCATAGCTTTGAATTATTAGCAGGTGTTTGTGAGGAACGCCGCTCCTCAAGACATATCTTGCGTGAGCTCTGCCTATGCTCTCAGTTGGACTACAAGTCACAAAGCCGATTCCATTTCGACGGCTTTCGGCTTCAGGTGATTATCTCCTGATCCTGCCCATGCAGCTCAACATATTCCTTTTTTTTACCAGGTCTTTGCCCTCATATTGATTTGAAACTTCTACTTCTTCTCCCCATGGGGACTGGGAAAGGGCAAGGGGCAGGCGACTTTTCCCCCACATGGGATATGTAGACCTCCACGCTAGATTTGATACGTTTGATGTCCCCTATGAAAAAAGAACTCACTGGTTACAATATTTAAGGACAAACAAAAAAATTTAAAAGTAGAAAAATTTTTGAAAAGCAGTAGTGTTTTCTTGCATCGTCACCGAATCGTAGCAACCTCACCTAGCAAAAATCTCGTTTCTTCGAGCACCTTACATAGTAAGCCCCACTATTTCAGATTATTTTGATTAAAATACGGCAATCGTAATCAGTTTTGGCTTACCAAGAAGTTCAGGGCGTGGCCAAACCTGATGGGGTCAGACAGCGCTAGATCGTATTACCGTATGACTTCACCAATGGATCTTTGATGGTATCTCAAGCCCAAGACCCGTTTGAGACCACCTCTCAAGTGAAAGAGAAACGCCCATTCGCTCTGTCTTCTAACACTGTATAGTCTAATTGGACTAGAACGTAAGCAACTTTTAGTAAAAGTCAGAAGTGCATGGCGCACTCCATAGCGCTTGATCAGTGCCAAATCCTTTTGGGCCTTCCCGGTTTCTAACGTAATTAGGGCAAAGTACATGAAGCGTATAAAGACTACAAACAAAAAAGTCCATCAAGGGTAATCACTGATAACTCAAAGATTTATGAGTGTCAGCATGAGGGGATGAAAAAGATCAGGTCTTCGGACGCCTCCCAATCCCGTCTCTGAGGCGCCGCATTCGACTTCCATTCAGATCGTCGTGGCGGTGGACTGAATGGCCTATGTGGCCTTTACAATGACTTGCGGTGGCCAGCCGGTGTATAAGTCAGTGCTTCTATCCTTCTAGACCAATTAACTGGCCCCAGAGGGACGAAAAGCTCGGTTGGCCGTGGCCAATACAGTCCGAGATTCGATCCCAGTCCATGACTGCCGTGGTGCGCACGCCATTTGCCCCTGCACCTCCTCAATCCGAGTTCAACAAAATAATCCATTCTAGTAAGTAGTAGAGCTGTAATTCTGGTTAAACCTGAACAGAAGTAATAGATATAGATAAGTAAATAGTCAATAAAATGAATGAGCAGTAAATTTTGACGAGAAGGGTCCCTGACCACCCTAATAACCTCCAATTTCTATCGGTAAATGTTCGAGTTGTGGCGTTTTCGCCACGTTTCAGCCATTGAACCATTTGCATCATCAAAAACCCGTTCAAATTGTTCTCATCGGGAATGCCTGCAATATTTTATTACAACAATCGGCTGCTATGTGTCAGCACAAAGTGCAAGTGCAGGCAGGGAATGAAAGCATGCATGTATGTATGTACACCCGGCTGCGTACAGGATGGCTGCGTTCATCTACCATATCCCCCTATATCCCGAAATCGCAGATTGCAATCGTACTACACTATCATACATATCGCGAAATTATTCACGGAGGACGACGACAATTTTTACGACCATCTACCAACGACGGGGCGGCGGCGGCGGCGACGACGTGGGGTTGTGGGTGGAAGAGAGGGGGGATTTGTTGGTGCTATCGGGGTGGTCTGTTCACCAAGGGGCAGGTGATATCATCGTTCGGCGTCGACCAGCCAGCAGCTCTGTCTGTCGCAGGTCGTGAACGGCCTGCCTGCTTGCCTGCCGTCCGGCCGGTGGGCGCCATTGCCGTGTTCCGGCGGAACTGCTGCTGCTGCTGTTGCTGCTGGTGTACACAGAACGCAATATTGCGCAATAGCTTGTCACCGGCATGTAATCGACCGGCCGGCCACGACTGCATCGATGTGGGAGTTATTCGAGACTGTTCTCGATCAACTTTTCCCCCTGCGTTCCTGGCTATTTTCTTTTTTCTTATATTATATTCTCCGTAATCTTCCGTTCCTCTCTTCTCATCCTTTTGCTTTGTTTCGGGCTTCCTCCATTGAGTAATTGCCCTACTTCAATGCCATCCATTGAATGCTGTACCGAAAACTCATTTGAATTGTTAAGTTACGCTGTTTTGCTCATTTGATATGACGTTGTGGTCTGGTAAACATATTAGTCAGCGAATTCTCTGATTACTGGTAATCATCTGCTGATTAAGGTTTCCTGATAGTAAAAATAGGTAAGCTCCTCACTCAGGCCATGATTACGTTACGTTCCAACCATCCAAGATTGGTACAACTTTAAGTTTGTGCTTGACAGTTACAGTTCTGGGAAAACCTAACCTTTCGGATGAGGTTTAGGCCGAAGCCTAGTTTTGAAAAGTACTCTGCAGGCATCATGAATGATTGAAACCAGACGAGCAGCTTCAGAGGCACCTGAAGTTCGTGGGGTTTTTGGTGGAAAGGGAGGATTTCTTGCTATCGAAGTGGCCTGTTCAACAGGGGTAGGTGATATCGTCTCCCCTAGCTAGATCCCCACGGATGCACGTTTGAAAGTCTCTGGCTCATTTCCAAGACTTTTCATCACATACTATGTCGTCCAACCGGCTAGAATTCAGTCCCCGTGGAAAAAAGTCGCATGTTTTCTTTTGATGACATTGATCGTTGCATTTCACCCTTTTCTCCGTTGTGAGTTTGAAGTGCTAGGGGTTCCCTCCCGCACCTCCCACGCTTCGAACTAGGCCTCTGCAGGCTCCGAAGCCGACTACAGCAACAAAGCAGTAACTAGCGAACAATGTTGTTCTGAATATGGAAGGTTAATATCAGTATGCTATACACGACAAACTGGAGCTCCTCCAGTACATGCTCCGTTAGTCTTCTCTAATCCTTTAAGTACAATTTTCAACCTTTTCTCCTGTCCTGATAAAATGCAGAACCCCGCCCATTCACGCCCTCTACTTCGTTATGCTCCTCTAATACCGGTTACGTGGCCTCCCGTCGTGGTGTCACGCCAGCTAGCAAGGGAGGAGGCACCCATCTGCGCTCGCTTTCATGGCCATGTGCCATGCACGTGTTGATTCACAACTTGAAAAAGCCTTTCTTCTTCGCTTTCAGTACTCGACGGCTTTTCAGACTAATTCGAATAGTCAGGGGCTTCTACAGCGACTTATTTCATTGTAGTTATTCAAAAGTTTTGGTTAAGAACCACCTTCACGGTGCTTCCCATGGCCACTCTGCACCCGATTCCCACTTCGCTCTCTGCCTGTTTTCCCTCCTTTCCATATCCCTCGAGGATCCTTTACCTCTAGTTTCCACCAAAGCATGGTAAAGGGTAGCAGAGCCGCAGCTGGAATACCTTGAACACTACATTCTTTACTCTGAAGCAGTGGTCAGATGGAGTGAGCGGCAGGTGGGGCAGAGGTGGGAGGAGTGGGGGAAGAGGGGGGAGGGGGGGAAGTGAGGTAGTGGTATTGAATTGGACAGAAATGCTCTGCTCTCTACAGTTGTACCCACCAAAAGGCGAAATCTTTGATCCGGCTGATCCCGCGTCCGGAGAGGTCGTCAAAGGAATCTATGGGAACTCTCCAATGCAACACTTTTGTGGCAAGTAATGAGGAAAACTCGTAAACAACAAGACCCATAACTTGCCCTTCTTGGTAGACTTCTCGCAGCGTCCTTTGGAACGAAATAACCGTAGCTAACAGAGGCATCAAATCAGGTAAACACCGTTCTTTTTTCTGACACTCGCGATTAAGTCTGAACCCTGCTTACTTCATACATGACGCCATACAACTTTGAATTGAAAACCAAGTTCAACTGTGGCATTTTCCTTCTTACAACTATCTCCGAATGAACCAACTGTCAGCTGACCGTCTCGGGCGTGGACCGGTTTTCCTGATTGATTTCGGCGAGATTCCTTCTACTCGTACTCGACATACTCTCTACCTTGCTCTCTCGAATGCCGTTGTAGGACAAACGAATGATCAGATATTTCGAAAATGTCGTCGTGTCTTTCAGTTCATGATGCATGGGGGCGGGGCTAACGTAAACACACACCCACTTTCTTGGCTGCGCGCCAGATTTGAATGGTGCTGTTCTGTAGAAGCTACTGGTATTTCTTCCCATACCTGCTGATTCATTGCTTATTTTGAATTCTTCCCAAGCTCTTTTGTTTATTTCCTTTTCCCTGTTGCTGTAGCTATCTGGTTTTCTTATGATACCGTTTCTATTGCCTCTAGAGGCCTCATTATATCGTTTATTTACGTTTGAAGGCCTTTATCTCATCGCTTTTGTGAAGTTGGGAGGAGGAAAGACTTCCAGCCATAAAGCTGTTGTTAGGGTAACCAGCAGCGAAGGTCGAGAGGGTTAATTAGAACGCATTTGTTCTGAAAATCCGATAGTATCGACCCATTCCCTTACCGTATATTTTTCACAAATAACAGAATGTTTGATGGCCGATAGCAACAAACTCTCGAGTTAGATTTTTTCCGATTTTTTTCGTTCATTTTGCTTTTTGTAGAGTGAGGTGGTTCTGTATTTCATGTAGTTATACTTGTTACTGTCGTTCAATAAGGATAGCGTTCAGACAGTTACTATTAGATGTAAACGATGAGTAGGTACAGGTACGGGCGGTAGGTGCGGTTGAGGTAGATAGGTAAGGTAAGCAGGTAGTTAAGGATACGTTCATTTCCCAATATGAGTTCATTCGTCGGGGAAAGGTGTTGAGAAATTCCTGGTTCTGTGTTGTGGTTTATACTCTTTCACCGACACCACATTAATAGGCTTGAAAAACAGGGATTAACGCCTCCTCAGGAAGCTCCGCCCCCTCCGCTCCCCAACAGAGTATAAACGAACAGGGTGTAATTTTACTTTTGAACATGGGCCATTAAGACATGACCTATGAACTCGTTAAAAACCACATTTCTGCGTTGTTCTTCCAAGCAAGGAAGAAAGGCGAAAAGGAAGAAAAGGCGCCCTCCAAGGGCTCATGGAATAAGGGTCTTTCTTAATTCAATTTGATTTTACTCATGAAAACCAATTAGTGAGGTAACTCGTCCATTCGGAGGCCGAGCTTTTACCATTTTGGGGCCCTGCCGCATTACTTTTGACTCGTTTTTTGCACTGCCAACTCGTTTCACTCTGTTCGTGCGTTCCCAATAGTAATGTTGACAGTCCCATGACACTGCTTTGAAAACCACATTCCGCTCAGAGCGCATGGAATGGAAGTCATCTTGATAGTTGTCTCAACCTCATTGAAGGGTTTACTCTATTATGGGATGATTGTCACCTGAAGGGAAAAAAGTCAAATGTAGGAGAGCTTAAGGAAGTCTTTTGGCGCCTATAGACCTTGAGCGAATGCACCTGCTGAAGGGAAATGTAGAGTCGACCTTTCGCAACGGACCCAGTCACCCATTTAGCGAAAATGAAACCCTTCAAAGAAACCGGTTTTTGTGAATCCTCCATTACTCACAATTCTCCTTAACATCTACCCCAACAAAGAAAACTGCATTGCAAGGTTCGGATCGCGAAAAAATTGAAATCTCGAACGTCAAGGCCTCTATGTCTGTGACTGTCTGGTATGAATCCAGAAGGATCAAGAATTAGAATTATAAGAGCTACTTTTGTTGTTGTGGGCTCAGAATATCTGATACAAAGGTTTCCGGAACGATTTCCGCGTAACGGCACTGCCGTTTTGTTATGGACCCTCTAATTAAGTGGTTAATCCTGTAATTATCCTAGCGGGTCCGTAAACGGGCCATCAATAAACCGCAAGGAAAGAACGCAGCCGCTCAGAAATAATGTCTGATATTCTATCTTAAAGTTCTAGCCATCAATATTAACGTTCAAAGGGTAAGTTCGGCTCATAAGCGTATTCCCGTGACAAATTTAAAGGGACAGGTATATATATATATAAAACTTTAAGGGCGATTGCTCAAGATGCCCGTTTCCCACTCAG